AAAAGTTCTATTGCAGGGTATAAAATGTGCCATTTTGGAAAATCTATCCACCACTACCATTATAGAGTCATGGTTTCTTGGTGTCTTTGGGAAACCTAAAACAAAGTCCAAACTTAGATCTTCCCATGGCTGATTGGGTGTTGGCAGAAGAGTATAGAGGCCCGTATTTTTTTTAACACCCTTGTTCAACTGACAAACGACATCTACTAACTATTGTTTTCACATCCCACCTCAGGTTTAGCCAGTAGAACTTGTCGTTAACTAAGACATAAGTCTTCTCTTGACCAAAGTGACCTGAAAGTCCACCTCCATGTAATTTAGCTATGACAAACTCACGAAGGGATCCAGTAGGAATGCAGAGTCATGTTCCTTTAAACAAATATCCATCGTGAAGTGCAAAGTCACCATCTTGCACAATTCCATCCACACAATTCTGCCACACAGTTCCAAAATTAGTATCTGTGGCATACTGGTTCACTACTTCTTCAAAACCTGTAAAATTAACTGTCGAAGACACTCAAATACAAATTTTGTGACTCAACGCATCAGCCACCTTGTTCTCCGCACTACTTTCATGTCGAATGACAAAAGTATATTGTTGTAAGACATCAACCCACCTTGCATGCCTAGCACTCAATTTCTTTTGAGAATGGATGTACTTTAGAGAATCATGATCAGTATACAAAATAAATTCTCTATGAATAAGATAAGGCCTCCAATGCTTTAATGTTTGAACTAAGGCATAAAATTCAAGATCATAAGTAGAATACCTCTTCTTTGCATCATTCATCTTCTCACTAAAGAAGGCAATGGGATGTCTTTCTTGGCTGAGTATTCCTCCCATTCCCACATGAGATGCATCACATGCCACTTCAAAGACAACATTGAAATCAGGTAGTCTCAAGATGGGTGCTTGCGTCATTCTATTCTTAATTTCTTGGAATGCTGCCTTTGCTGCCGTAGTCCAACAAAATTGGTTGGATTTGAGACATTCAATTAAGGGTGCCATAATAGTGCTAAAGTTACGAATGAATCTTTTGTAGAAAGTTTCCAATCCATGAAAGCTTCGAATTTCATGAATGTTCTTTGGTGTAGGCCAGTCAACAACTGCTCTAATTTTCTTATGATCAGCCTCCACACCCTTGTTTGAGATAACAAAGCCTAAAAAGTTCACCTTTGTTGTCATGAATCTTATTTATATAGAACTTCTCAGCTTGGAGCAGTTCCAAAACCAGCTTAAAGTGTTCCAAATGGTTCTGAGAATCCTTGCTATAAATAAGAATGTCATCGAGCTAAACAACCACAAATTTACCTAAATAAGGTCTCAAGATATGGGTCATAACCCTCATGAAGGTACTTGGTGCGTTGGTCAATCCAAAAGGCATTACCAACCATTCGTATAAACCATCCTTGGTCTTAAATGCAATCTTCCATTCGTCCCCAAGTCTAATCCGTATCTGATGATAACCGCTTCTCAAATCTATCTTTGAAAAAGTCGAAGCACCACTAAGCAAATCCAACATGCCATCAAGTCTAGGAATAAGAAACCTATACTTGATGGTAATTTTATTTATAGCTCTACTATCAACACACATCCACCAACTTCCATCTTTTTTTTGGTGTTAATAAGGCAGGGACAGCACAGGGACTAATACTTTTTCTAATGAATCCTCAGTCAAGCAAACCCTGTACTTGCCTTTTAAGCTCTTCATTTTCAACTGGACTCATTCTATAAGAGGCAATATTAGGTAAGGATGAACCTGGTATCAAGTCAATGGCATGTTAGATTTCTCTCATAGGCGGAAGTTGATGCGGCAGCTCTTCTGGCATCAAATCTGCAAATTCCTCCAGCAATGGTTGCACAATATCCGACTCCTCATTATCAAGTTTTGCCTCTCTTCCCAACAAAACAATTATTACTCCTCGCTCTTTGCTTGCGGTTTCAAACCGTTTCATAGTCAGAACATTTAGATCACCCTTCTTGTTTTCAGAAAACTTTGAAATTTGAAGTGGCTTGAGCACAATCCGTTTTCCTCCAAAATTAAAAGCATATGTGTGTTCAAACCCATCATATACAGTTCTTCGATCAAAAATCCATGGCCTTCCTAATAACAAATGGCAAACTGACATAGGAATCACATCACAAAGAGCTTGATTAGTGTAATTTCTTCCTAAAGAGAATGGAACCATGCACCTGTACTTTATTGGGACCGTGGCACCATCATTCACCCAGCTGATTTTGTAAGGTCGTGGGTGTTTTTGCTTGATTAGTTCAAGACGATCAATTGCTTCTTCTAAGATCACGTTCATTCCACTCCCATTATCTATAATTACATTAATGCCCTTTCCTTTACATTCCATTCGAGTGTGAAATATGTTTGTTCTCCACCAATCCTCTGAATCTTCCAACTTCTGACCAGTCAAAACTCTTCGAATTACATAGCTAGGTAGTTCAGAAGCTTCCAAATGATCCTCCTCATCCTCTTCTCCAGCATCTTTTTTATCAAGCAATAACTCTTCTAATTCAAAGTCTGGTAATTCTTGGCTGCAAATCAAAGTTGGTTTCCGACCTTGCTCCTTTGAGGGGCAAACCATAGTGTAATGCCCGTACCCTTTGCATTTGTAGCAATGAGGTCTTGCTCCTTCTATTTTTTACTTCCCCTTTTCATCTCTACTTCCCTGCACGCTAGATCCGTGTGCACGAACAAGTGTAGGTTTTGGAAGTCGTGTCTCCTGGGTGCTCGGCCTTCGAAAATTAACTTCGCCAACTCGTGCCTCAATCCTTAATGCCATCTGATATGCTTCCTCAATGCTTATCAATCTTTGCTTCACTAGTTCTCTTCGATTATCAGATCGTAGCCCAGACCAATACATTGCAATGCCTTGATGGTCATTCTCCACCACCTAACTCCTCACTATAAGCTCATGGAACTTATCAGTGTACTGGTTAACTGATGTTAGGCCTTGCTTCAAAAGAATGAGCTCTTCATAAGTAACCTGCTCATAATCTAGAGGCAAGTATTTCTCCTTCAACTTCAATTTCATTTCCTCCCAATCAGCAATTGGAGGTTGTCTCGTCCACTGAAGTTGCTCCTCCACACTTCCCCACCATGCTCGAGCAGACCCCTTTAACTTCATCTTAGCACATCTGACCTTTCTCTCCTCTGATACAAAAAACCAGTCGAAGTAATCTTCTAATGCTGTCATCTAATCTTGATAGGAATGGGGTTCAAGCTTACCGTGGAAATCAGCAATATCGACCTTCATTCTTTTAGTTAACTCATCAAGGGGTTGTTGGTGATATCCTACAACAGGTTCATTATGGCGCCGATGAAGACCTTCTTTGTCACATTCATGCATAACTCGGTGATATCCAACCCCTCTATGGTCTGTGCTTCCCACTTCATCTTCGCGTTCACTGCCTCCTGGCACTTCTTCACGGAGTGGGACACGCCTCCCTCTATCATGAACCCTTGACGCTTCACGAGCCCATCGTTCGTCCATTACGTCCAATCGGCGTGCAAGCTGCCCCAAAGTTACAGTAATCTGTGTGACCTGCTGCTGGAAATTGACTGTTTTGTCAGTCGGGGTAGCTGCATTCGGGTTTGGGTTTGTAGCCATGGTGAAGAAATTGCCACTTCGAGTTACAATCAAGGAGTGATGAGGAATCCCTTGCAAAAAAACCTTGGGACCTTTTGGCTCTAATACCAAAAATGATGACAAACAACAACAAAATAAAGAAAAAATTTCTGGACCAACTTCACGTTGGCAACCAAGAGGGAAATTTCATAGACTCTCTCTGTAAAATGGACTCTCTCCAAATAAAGAATGCTTTAGAAATGCAACTTGTATTTTATTCATCATAACTTGGCTATATATATAGCCTAAGCGTTCAACATTTGTTAAAATCAAAGCTAAAGACTAGGAAATAAATCGGGAATAATAACCAATTACTGAAGACTAGGAAACAGAAAAAAAAAATCAGCTAAAACTAAACATTAAAATAACATAAAAACTCAAAGTAATGCCCCATAAGACTCGATCTCCCCTTTAATTCACATCATGAACCAGGCTAAGATACCATCACAAATTGACACCACCATTGACAATCTACTTTAGGAAACATCTATTCTGATAAACATAAACGATAAAACTCTACCCGGTGATGTAAAGGCTGTCCCTCACAGTAGAAACTCTTCCTCGAATCCTACTTCGAAGTCAAAATTTTTGGATGATTTTGATTCATGGTTTGGATACTATTTAATACAGCTGTTGTATCTTTAGCTGTTGTGAAAGCGATATTCTTTCATTTAGACCTGTTTAGTTTGTGTCATGACTCCAAAATTAGCCTCCAGCACTTCATAACTCGCTCACAATGGTGGAATGCAAATTTTGTGGGTCAGTAGCACTCCTTTCGTTTATTTTTTCACCTTTTCAGTGGATTCTCCGACGACTGTAATTATGTGTAGACTAGACTGTAGAGAACAATTTCTACCCACAAAAAGATTAATAATAGTGAATATTGAATCAAGATTATTTGCTTCTTTAATACTCCCGTTCAATTCATCCGCCAAGACAATTGTGATCAATCGTGCAATGTTCTATTCGGACTAATCTGGGAATTCATGTTTTATCAACATCATCCGAATATTATGGCATGTCTAGTCTTGATATAAAAATAAATTCCAACACTTGAAGGTAGTGAAACCATAGTTCGAATGAATAAATTCGTTTGCCCTATAAAAAATTTTAGACTGGATTCGTGTTAGAATGCAACCCAACACAGGTTTTTGGCCTTGTATGTATTAGCAGTATAAATAAATCCAAATTCACCTCAATAACCAGGCTAGACACTGTTAAATCAAAAGATGAGCTGCTTCAAACACAAATGAAACCATTTTAGACATTGAACAATCCTCGTCTTTATGATCTAAATAGGTTCCCTGCTCTAAAGCATTTACTTCAATAGCAAAAATATCATAGTACTCAGGACGAGGACGTTTGGGGTGAATCTCAGAACCTTAACATAAGAATGTCAAAACCTTCAATAAAGATTCACCTTTTCAATGAAAATAGTTTCCTAAGAAAATTCAATCCACTATTTTAGTTTCATTGATGGATCACAGCCAACTTGTAGTGATACCACCACTAAACTGGCTCGAGAAGAAAATATAAATTCAGAAGGGAAAAAATAATTCAGCCATTATCCAGTTACTTCTTTCCACCTCGCTCCAAGTTCAGATCCTGAAGGTTCAGCAACAGATCATCAGAATTTAAATACACTTTGTTGTTTGAATTTGCAATGGTGTGAGAGATTTCTCTAGATGCTTCAATTCTCCGGAGAGTAATAAATGCCGGATTGTTGGCAATAGCTTGACCGATCAGCTGAGCACTCTTGGCCTCACCCTGGTAACAAGAAACAGATATGTAGTTGAGTGAAATTGCTCAATTTCATGCAGAACATTTTAACAGATTAGCAAAAAGGGACAAAACCAAAACCATTCGCTCTCTAGTGCATGAACATTCTCATTTTTAAGGATTAGAAAGTCTTAAATGATCAAAAGACACAAGGTGACCGTGGTAGTAGTTCAGTAGACGCACGCTTTCATTTTTACCGATGAACGAGTCTTAAATGATAAGAAGACTTGAGGTGAAAGTAGTCATGAAATAACAAAAACTGAAGTTACCTGTGCCCTAATTATAGCACTCTGTTTGTCTTGCTCAGCTTTTTCCACCACAAACTTGGCTCTCTCAGCCTCTTGTGCAGCTACTTGTTTAGCTTCAATAGCAGCTGTGAATTCCCTTCCAAAAGTCAGGGTTGTAATGGACACATCATCCAATGCAATGTTGAAGTTGGCAGCTCTATCAGTCAATATTTTACGTATTTCTCTACTGACAGCCTGAATAAAATAAAATAACTGTAATGAAATTTAATTATTTAACCCCAACTCAGTTGGAATATGCTACTAATCCCTGACCATGCCAGCAGAACATAGTTCAAAGAACCATCTTCATCTATCTGACTTGATCCCACACATGCTAGGGAGTTTTGTCATGAGGAAGGTTGTGGTGGATTAGTGGGTAGTGGGTAGGTGAGAAAACGGGTTGGGGTTGGGAAAAATTGACATTATTCTGAAAGATAAAACTTTTTGATAGGTACAAAATTGTATTTGGGGATGTGAGAGATCATTGGTGGTGTAGTTAAAAATTCATAAAACATGTTGTATACTCCTATTTATTGTTGTGTAAAGAGGACTGAATAGTTACATAAATTTCAACTAGCCACTTACCTCTCTTTGGGTGATAAGCTGGCTAGCATTGTACTGGGCAACCACAGCTTTCAAAGTTTCATGAATTATTGAGGGCAAGACTCTCTCATTGTAGTTTTCACCAAGAGTTCGATAAATAGTGGGTAACTGGTCAGGCACAGGACGAGTGAGAACCCGTAGACCAATTTTTACCTGTAAATCAAATAGAAAACCAAGTAACGACAATGAGATTCAATAATCCAAGTTTTTTCATTCACATTTTTTTCTTTTCCTAGAAAGGTAAAAGGAGTAATTTTTTGACCTTAAGCTAATCTCAAAAATTAATATATTTTTTTCCCCTAGACATCAAAACATATCAATACTAATTAACAAATTTCTTAAAAATAATTATCAATACTTTATGCACTTCGCTCTACTCAAAAAATATTTGTAGCAATCAGGAAACTAGAAAGCATTGCAATGAACCACAATAATATTGGATCAGCGAACACTGCACATCTTAGGAAGGAGAATTATATTCAGATGGTATTAAAACTTGACCAAAAAAATGAACCAAATATTCTGCTGCTATGTTCACACAAACACATTTACAGACTACTCAACCAAAGCGATGTTGAAAAGTGTGCTATAACTTCACCTGTTCAATCTCGTGTTAACATCCAATGACCAAGCTAATGATACCCCTTTGCCCCAGCCACAGGAAAGAGACAGGGAAATAAGATTGTAGTAGTATAAAATTATAAACCCTTAGATAACATTACTTCATGCAGTAGCAGATTTTGTTAATGCCTTCGAACACACCCCCACCCAAAGGCACAGAATGGACACAAGTGGTTTGCAACTAAAAAAATCTAATTCAGAAGATCCTGTATTATGTTTAGAAAGATGAATGATGGACTTTTTTTGTTTTCAAAATGACAAAAACAATGCTTAGGATCCAATTGCAAAATAGTGTCGTTGTTTTTTTAAATGAAGGTAGAGTTAAGAAATCATTAAGGGTCATATCTACAGAAAAAACAAATCAAAAGCAAAAATTAATGTAAAAGGATTTTACAATTGGCATTTCGTAAGGTATATACAATGCATGAGTTACATACTTCCTATAAGTTTAGAAATAGATTTCAGCTAGATGAGTAAAATTGACAGTGGCATTACATGGATAAGATTCAGTCAAAGTATTTTTCCACCCATAAAGATTGATTATTTCGATGATCATGGAAAAACTGTACTATTTGAATAGAATAAATTTAATTTGAGAAAAAACTACAACTATTAATTGAGTATTTGCGTTTTTGTGGTGGATTTAGTATATCATTTTCTGTAGAAGCAAAGTTAGGAAAGGAACCCAATTAAAAATTCTAAACTACCTCTTCCGAAACCAGAGATCGTTGCACCTTCATGCCATTTAGAATTAAACATAAAACTAGAAAGCGATCATTACAATTTGTAACTCATAGAAGGATGGCCCCAAGCCCCCAGAAGTAAAGTATTGCAAGCCAAAGGGACAAGAGAAGGGAGGAAAGCTAGAGAAAAGGGCTTACCATCTGAAGATCACGACTGCCTGATGTGCTCTCTACTAAATGTGGTCGTGCACGAACATCATAAATTACTGGCCTTTCAAACCATGGAACCATCAAGTGTGTCCCTTCAGGATAAACCTATATATCCAACGTGTAAGCAAAATGTTGAACAAGTTGTGTAGAGCAGATGAAAATTAAAATATGTATCATACCTCCGTAAATGCAATAAACGTGAACCAAAGAAAGCCATAGGAACATCTTACTCTAAGATCACAAGTAAAACTTACTTTAAAAAAAAGAAAATGCCAAAGAATAGCAGGCCCAATTACTCAGTCAAATTAGTTCATATAACGCAAAGTATTTAAGATTATTTCCATTAAATAATAAGTGTTAACACCAATACCATAAGAAGGACCGATAAAAACCAGAGCTACCAGATGTCATTAAACCGCTAGAAAAGTGTGAACTGCTACTATCCTTCCAAATTCTATTACAGCATCAATTTTTCAGAATGGTAATTTTGGCAATCAGAGCAGTTAAATCTCCATCTTCCCTCCCTTTACCTGAATGAGACAGAATACAAAAATAAATTTATCATAGAGAAGTTAACTGTTTTGCTCAAACATCAGCACTTCTTTCACTTTGTTGAGCTAATTAAAAACTCCTTGTCATAGCGCGTCACACCAAGCCAGGCTACTAGAAAACCAGTTCAAAGGTTTAATTAAACTGGATGATGTAGTCAATCTTCTCGAAAAACACGCTTCCTCGAAGTTGTAATCCCAAGACCAGTTGATAAAATTCAAGTGCAAATGATAAATTCACAGAACTCTCTGTAAAAGAAAGGAGAAATGGGTCCACAATGGAGGAGAAAAAATACGTAATAAGTGCGTACATGACAATGTAAAGAACCCACACCGATCGTCCCGAGAATGAATAGGTAAAAACTTATAAAGGGAAACAGAATAAGAAATTTTCTGATTTGACGCAGAACAAGACAAAGACATTGGATATGTAATTGTTAATCAAAAGCAAAATTTTAACTGCACCCCAGCCTTTATTAACTAGGTGGGGTTATCCTTCAATGACCAGAAATACAGGAGTAAGCATGAAACAGAAAAGTGAACTTTGTAAACGTTGAAACAGCCTGGGAAACATTCAAATGTCAATTCCCGATCAAAGAAAATAGGGAAGGAAAAAACCTTCTCTTTCACACCAGTGACACGATTGAACACAATTGCTCGATGCCCACCCTCAACGTTGTAAAGACTGTTAGCAACTCCATACATACCAAGACCAGCAATAACACCCAACTTAATTAAAGCGGAGGCAGCACCGCCACTAGGCATCTTGGGAACCTTGACATTGTTCATATTCATCTTCCAAGCCCCTGCACACTGCTAAATTGTACCATTATTGTGTAATATTCGTTCTAAAAATGCTAGGATAATTAAATATGACCTCTCGTCTATTTTCAAGTAATCAAATGCACAGAATAAGAGGAAAAACTACAATTTGTCACATGCAACTGAAGAAGGTTAATTATGCACGGAGAGACCTAACAATGCACATCGTACAAGAATCGCAAAAGGGCCCACACAATTTTTTGGCAATAAGAATGCAACAAGAAGAAATTAGAAATGAATATTTTTCTTCTAAAGAAGAGTGGCAATTTTAACCATACGGTGAAATAAAGCATTAAATAGGAGTCCCCATTCACAACAGACATAAACAAATAAATCAGATTTTATTTTTATTTAAATACACAATCAAATTGGAGTCCCCATTCACAACAGACATAAACAAATAAATCAGATTTTATTTTTATTTAAATACACAATCAAATTGGATGAATCTCTGAAATTCAAACATCACCAAAACACAATTACATTTACAAGAAAAATGAAAAAAAGAACATACATTTACACAAAAATCTTGTACTTCTCCAGTAACGTGAAATGAAAGATCCAAAATGTCACAAACTTAGTTATCTGTGGTAAACCAACCAACCAACAAACGTGCGCATACACAGGAAAAAGTATTTATAACTACAAAAGAAAGAGATAAACATCACAGAAAAACAGAACACTAAATCAACGGCACAGCCTTACTTCGCAGATCAAAATCGAAACCTTTTCCAAAATGTTATATATATATTAGACATACATGAAGCTAATTCAAAACGCGCACAAGACAAGGCTTCGTGGTAAGAAAAGAGAAATCGACGGATAATCTGTATACCTTTAATGGAAATCGAGAGGACAAAGAACACTCTGTGGAGAGTGGAATAAGGGGTTTAGAGATAAATTAAGGGGTTAGAGGTTTGGTACAACGCATTAGGGTTTTTGGAGTGCTTTTTCTTTTCTCATTTTTATTTATTTTTTCTTCTCAACCTTACGCTCTTTCCTAAGCCCATGTTTGATTCCAATTTCTAAATAAAATGGAATTGATTGTTTCAATGATCACTGAACTAAGGTTCATATATATGAGGTGGTCATTGAAGTTTAAAATGTCGAATTTTAATCACTGAATTAGATCTATATTTTCGATTGCTTACTGAAATTTAAAATGTCGAATTTTGACCACTAAACTTTAAAAAACGTTGTATATTACTCATTGAATTTTGAAAAATATTGTACATTACTCACTGAATTTTGAAAAATATCGTGACTTACTCACTGTAAACTCGATATTTTTTAAAATTCAACAATTATGCTAGTGAGTGACCTACAATATATTTCAAAGTTCAGTGATCAAAATTTGACATTTTAAATTTCAGTAAGTAATCTAAAACATGGATCTAAATTCAATGGGCAATCGAAGACATTGACTTAAGTTCAGTGATCAAAACTCGACATTTTAAACTTCAGTTGTCAATCAAAGACATGAACCAAAGTTTAGTAACCATTGGAACAATTAACTCGATAAAATGCATTATGAAATAGTGATTTTTTTGGGAGAATATTTGGTTAAAAGTACGAATTCTTTTGAAATACGTATATGATTATTTTATAGAAAAATGTGTAGTTAAAAATGAGTTTTGAAAAAATGTATTTTTTAAAAAATAAGGCTCAAACAAGGGCTAAATTAGTAGTATCAAACGAATCGTACCCTCAAACTCAACTAAGTGAAAAGATTTTGTTGAAAGGGTCCCATTCGGTATAGAGAACTCATTGAAGTTTGGGTCTATACTTCCCCTATTCCAATTGTTTTCACCGAAAAAGTATGTCCATCTAATCAGCCGAATCCTATTTGCCCAACTAAGCCATTTAGAATAGTTCTCTAACTTGTGTGCTTTGTTATGGTAAGCTAGATGATCGTTTGCTTCATCAGAGCCGCACCCATTTCTCTGTCACAAATGTTAGTCTTCAAAACAAATGGCTTTGAAAAGTCAAACAAGAACATGATAGTTCTTATGATCCGAGCTTGTTCTAAACTCGTGAAAAGACTTTTCTATAGCTTCATTCTATTTCAATTGTCGCTTTACGTCGAACTGGTTCGTCTAATATTCAGACATGTGCTGGCACACATGTAAATTAAAGGCGTAACATAAATCTTCTAGTCTTTGTGTATATTGCATTTTAATTAGTGGTGTCAAAGAGGCACAATCAAGTCGAATTTGTTCGTCTAAACTTGAAAATGAGATTCAATAATAATTTTCAACATGACAATGAAAGAATGTCAACACACAAAGATGTTAAAAAGTCTCGTAACCTATAAAATAAAGCTAAAAATACTTCGAATTGAAAGAGCATATAGAGTAAGACCTCTCGAAAATTAAAATAATATCTTGATTGAGAAATAACAAAAACTGAAATCTCAATTTCTTTCAAAGAGAAAAATTGACTTCAGAATACACCAAGACTTCAGAAAAATCTATCTTTAGCTTTAAAAAATATTATCCATTTTTCAGGTCAACAATCTATTAGATAAGTTATCTAGTTTATTGAGTAATATGTTATCAAATATGTATGTACAAACTGACGTATTAATCTTAAAATTCTATTAATTAAAGTTGCATATTCACGAGAAACAGTTCACCGAGTCATTATCGGGCATCAACAATCAATGTCCCCCGCCGACCTTAACCCAGCATAATGCCGTAAAAGTAAACATTTCGAACACCTCAACAAAACTACAACCTCCCCGAAAAAGAAAAAACTCTCCTCGCAGCGGTGGCTCTCGGCGGCGTAATTGGTGCTTAGCGGCGGTGGAACAGGTGAATGGCAAGAAGCAACAAATATACCTCCCTCAACTTTAATGACATATACGATAAAAAGCTGAATAATAGCACCAATAATCGAATCAGCAACAACAATTCTTCAGCTAAATCGTTCTCTTCTTCGGGTGCTTCTTTTGCGAATCCGAGCAAAACCATTATATCAAACTCGCGAATCCATGGCCACATGCTTGTTTTGAGCCGGCCCAGTCCGAAACCCATTTCGATTCCGGTGAAGCAATCAATCGAGCAGCAAGAAAACAAGGAAAAGTGTTCTGTTATTTGTTCTCTGACGCCACCGGATCAAGCAAGGTCGGATCTTGAACCGGATTTAATTTCGCTTCGTCCACAGGGACGAACTGGGTCAACTCCGGCGATTCCTTCGTCTCCTTTGCCGTCTCCCGAATCTCCGTTAGTGTCTCCGGCGAAGACTAACCGTTTCGTGCCTCCGCATCTCAGGCCGGGATTTGTGGGTAAGCAGGAGAAGCCTGGGCTTGAGATTGTCAACGGTGTACCGCCTGGGGGTTTCAAGGGTAGGCAGGATCTTGGTGGACATCGTCCGGGACAGGTTCAGGATCCAGGGCATTACGGATCGTCTCTTAACCGTTTTGGCGAAGACGGGAGGCCGAAATCTGGAGGTGGGTATGAGCGGATGAGGAGAGGTGGTGAACCAGCAGATCTGAACAGGCCCGGTTCAAGTGGGAATGGTATAATGTCTTGGCTCATTCAATGATATATTATTTATTTTGATATAACTTATAACGTGAAATTTGTGTTGGCATCTCAGATTGGATTGCAGAAATTTGATGTTAAATGATTTTTTCCTTTCCTGAATAATCTATTTCGTGATCATTGATTTCACAGCTAGAATATGAAAAGAATGTGTGCATCTCTGTGACTGTTTCTTTGTTTGTCTCCTTCTCTTGTTGCTTGTTAAGGAAAGATCTGAAAAATCAGCTGTAGTCCAGTAAAGAAATCAATGTGGTATTCTTGTTTCCTGTGGACGTCAATGTGGTACAAGTGAATAAAAGCAACACAGATTTCTTTCTCAGATTATTTGCCTTTGGTTTCTTGCTTTCTTCCCACAGACGTTTGTAGATAGATAAGTTATTTAATCTACTTCTTTTATGTGTTTTGAATTGGTACCTGATATTGTTTATAGAATTAAGTAAAGGGTCAATCATATGCTCACTGGTTTTGGTCTCTTGTTTGACAAATTGAAGCGGTTTAGCCTATGAGTGGTTCTGTTTTCCGCTTTTTTAGTCATGAATATGTACAAAGCTATAGATGCTTTGTATTAACGGTTTATGATAAATTGTTTGATCATGAATAATTTAAATGCTCAAGTGTCCGTGCGGATTACCAGAGTAGATCCCTGGGTTTGTCTTCTAGCCGAGATGTCACTTGTTAGCTTGCTTTTTTTTTTTTTAATACTGGAAGCTTGTTTTTTAAGTGTATAATTTGGTTCAATAGCTGAAAGAATAATGAGATAAGTATATAGGAAGGGAACTATTTTGGTGACGTGTGTTTCAGCTACGACCTGGGTGGACTTATGCTCTCAGACTACATTCATAGCGTATGATATTTTTACAATTTACAACAAGATGTATTGTGCACTTGATGCGTGATATTTTTGTTTTCTCAAGGCCGACTGATGAACTTTTCAACGGATAGTTCTATAGGTTCTGGGATTGCAGTGTTGTTATATGATTATTGTTTATTGAAGGAATATTGTAAATTAACAATTTCTCTGCGGATATAAATAGCTTTCTTGAAATTCACCAATCCATATTCTATTCTTCTGCGGCAGCTTGGTAGAAGGCAGTAACTTTGGGTCGTTTTATTATTCTCCATGTGTTTTTTATCATGATATCTAGGGTGGTTTGGAATTAGTCTAACTAGTACCTGAAGGGCTGATCTAAGGCGTCTTGATGCAACTTTTTCACACCATCTTATTTAGTGATATACAACCCATTACACCTAATGAGCAGTGTTTCCTTTATTTCCTTATCTTGTAACTCTGAACAACTAATTATTTCAGAATTCATTTAATTGCAAATTATATGACTAATAAAATTACTAAATTTAAAAATACATTTAATTAACGAAATTATTGAATTTATTAATTAATTTGAAAAAGCATTAGACTTAATACCACAAATAAAAAGATATTACATTTAACATCACAATATAAAAAATAAAAATAAACAAATCTCATATCATATAAAAAACTTTCACAAAAGAAACAAAAAATACAATTAGTTTTGTCATCTAATTCTTGGAATAGGTATATTTATCCACAAATGATCAATTAAAAAAAGGATAGAACAGGAATTAATATTTGTTGTTTTATAAAATGAAGGGCAAAATGAGAATAAGAAACGCTATAAATTACACCACAAATGGAGAGTGTTCCACCAAATTTGGTGTAGCACTGGTGTAATGATATGAAGCTGGGTTGGAGGGGATTATCACACCAATGTGGGGGTAAAACGTCAAATTGGTGTAAGGGTTGGAGATACCCTAAGGAGAACGTGTGGCCAAGAGCAAATTTAGTTTTTTTAAAAGTAAGGATGCTAACGCTTATAATATAGCAAATTTCTACACTAAAGTTCAAAGCAAGAAAGGCAACTTCTAAGAAAGAAGCCTAACATGTTTTGGAGAAAAAAGTTAATTAAAGTAACTTTTAAAGCTCTAGATATGGTGCGTTTGGGTTTCGTTAAAATTATTGAAGGAGTGTGAAGTGGTTTTGTCAAATAATGTTGAGGACGACCTACATAGAACTGGGTTGAGGATGTCATATGCTACAGTAGGATAATTGGATTTGATAGCATATGGATTCATAATGTTGAGTTCCCCGATGCATTCCCTTCCAACCCCTCCAGTTAGGAGAAACATTCCTAGTTAGTTTTTTGATTGATCGGACTTTTTAATTAGATATCTTGATTAAGACAAACTTACGCCTTTGAAGATAGCCAGCAGACCATTTTGAGGAGCGCCTATTAAAGCAAGTTAAATATTGTTGTGATTGCCATCTGGAGAAAGCTTAAATAATGTTTAACATGATGGCAGTGGACATTTGATTTGCAAAGAAAGGCTTAGAGTATCTTCAGGAAACTCTTTATTTATAAGGAGCGTCTTATGAATTATAGATAGCATCTTTAAATTTAGAAAGTCTACATTTTTATGCACTCCAACAATGCTGTTTATTTTTTTTTTTTTTCAAGGAACATCTATTGATTTCTCCTCATATTTTAATTTAACATATTTTTTTATATGTTGATGACCAATCTATTTAAACTTGATTTGAATAGTTTAAGAAGTAGAGAGCCAAACTCAGTCTCTATTTTAAAAAATTAATATAGGGAGTTTCTTGAAACTTATTTTTAAGCATTAGTGGTTTAAAATAGAGAGCATTTTGTATTCAGAGAATCTCATGAAGATGCTCTTGTAAGTTAAGATCTATAAAAATTTTCGCTTGTTACAACTACAAGCTTCCAGTGGAACTTCTGCTTTCATATTAAAAATAAAAAATTATTGGCGTTGCGCCCCCATTAGGTCGTGATTGTCGAAGTACATTATTTCCTTGGTTACTTTTTCAATATCGATTTACGATAAGATTCATTATAGAGATGCTTTGCATTGTGATGTAGCTGGGTCAATTCACTAATGTGCTATTCTTTGGTATTGAATTGGTGTCAGCAATTTATTCTGGGGAAAAGAAAATTATGATGATAAATCCGTTAGTATTCTAAATGGTGTACATTCATGCCTTCAATCCTTGCTAATGAGGCAGCCCTGTAGAGCATTAATGACGTTTTCTTGTCTATTAACTTTTGTGTTCCGATAAGTCTCTTGTTGTACTCTTTAATTTGCTCATCAATTTTTATAATGGTCTTTTGACCTTAGGCCATTCCAACACTAGCCTTTGTTAGTGATGCCTGAAACGTTTTTGCCGGTTGCATTTTTTTTCTCAATTTGTTTCTATGGATTTTTTTTAAATTGGTTTTCTTGTCTTCCTAGAGACCAAGGCTGTTTTGCCCTCCTCACCCAACGTAAAATGTGGACTTCAAAGTTGTGGACGTCAAAAATGTGCTATGTTGAGGTGCCAAGTTACTGTAGAAGTCCAATAATTGCATTCAACCTCTTTCATTTTAAAAATGCATTTCAGTTCCCCCTTCTCTTCTCCTAGATTCCTGTACTAGTTTCTATTTCCTTTATCCAAGAGCTTAAATTTTATGTTATTTTTGGTGCTTGTCCTAAAGTTTACTTTTACATATTCTTCAAATAGTAGCTAGAAACTAGTATACAAGTCAATGACCAAAATAGAAATGTAAATTCATCATCTCATAATCTATAGAGGGAATCAACCAGGGATGCAGCTAGTACCATGAGAGCCGGCACGGCCGCTCATGCAAGCTCCGCCGGAACCTTGAGTTCCATCCATGGCGACTGGGACCGACAGAAGAAAGTGAACAAGCAGGAGACTTGAGTCCAGGGGAGAAGTGTGAAGAAGACGAGATGAATTATTTGTTTGGGCCTTTTTTGTAGTGGGCTTTTGTTTTTGGGACGCCATTTTTTTTTTTTTCCCTTTTTATATATAAACATCATTTAGGCAAGTGGCCAATTGTCCAAATACCCATTCCAATTCAGATATCAGAGGTTGAAATGAATCACGACATTTTATCATTTTCAAATTTCAAACCCTTTATGCACCGTGAATTTGACTGACCGCAGACTGCCATAATGCCGCCAACTACCGTTGTGAGCGCCTCTATTCCTTTTTTATAACATTTGTGACCATCGACTGCGACTGCCAATTGAACATTTGTGAGCTCCTCTATATTTTTATTTTTATTTTCATTTTGATGTTTTAATTGATTGGTGATTTAGTGTGTTAATTGTGATGCTTATGATTTATGAAAATTGGGGAATTTGTAAATTTTGTGAATTTGTGAATGTGAATTGGGAATTTTATGAATTGTGATAAATTTTCAATTGGTGTTGAAATTGATGATAGTTTAAGATTATGTTTAATTTATGTTTAATTTTCATACAGATCATGGAACAATTTTTTCAATCGAAATGAAAGTCTCAACATATTTATAGTGGTATCATGTATTTTTTTTCTTATTATTTTGAGTTGTATTGGATTATATTTTCATATGTATGTGATTTTAATGTTGTAGTACATTTTTATATATTGATTAAAAAAAAATTTAATATTATTTAACTAACTATTAATAAACGATCCTGTTATAGCGAACGTCGACGGCCAATAGTTAACGGCCGCCCTAGCTCACCAAAAATCCTAGATCCATCCTTGGAATCAACTTTTTGGACATTATTATATTTGTTTTGCCACTGTGATAAGAAATCTGTATGTGAATTTTATCCAGTATTTTACTCTATTTCTGTATTGTATATTGTTTGTGGAGATTGATCTGCTGCCGTGCCTAAATGTTGATCCTTTTTGTTTACATTGTTTCTGATTTTTTTTTTCATTTATTTTTTTTAATAATTGTATTTTGGACTTGGTGCCTGAATCCTGTAATAAATTTGGAGTAATATGCTATTCTTTTGCAAGATACTAACTCCAAACATTTTCCCATCCAGCATTTTACTAAGCAGAGCTCCTTTTGGTAGATGGTGTTTAGAATTCTCGATGCACAGTTTGATTCTTACCATGAACAGCAATGATAGTTAGCACTGCTATTGTCATTTGTTTCAGAATGCTCCGTGGATCTTCTGGCCGTGGTAGATGGATTATAACCAGTTAGCTTTTTAGTTATTTCGAGGTGAGAGGTTTGAGGCCTGAGTTACATCTGATGTCTTTCCTTTCGTTTTTCAATTTGTAAATCTGCATTATAAAGAAAGATGGTGACTATGGAATGTAGAATTTGCTTCTATGGCTTTTTGTACTACTGTTTTTCATATGAAAATATCCTAAAGGCGGGTGATTTGATGGTAACCAGTCTCCCGATTTGTACTGAAACAACATTGTATTTTTGTGTAGGATGTGAACTTGAGGTTCGTTTTGTGTCACAGAAGATGTTTTTCATTTGAAGAATATTTGTCCCCAACTTTGATATGGCATGCCCTTAATGTTATCGTGTGCTGTAATACTTGCTTTATCGTACTTTTGAATGGTACATATCGATGATTTATGCGGTTTTGCTGGTGCCCATATAGACTTTCTGCAGATAAGCGAAATCTTTCTTGAATGGTTCAAACAATAGTTAGATAAATCTGACTTCAAATGTCCTGCACGGTTATTTTGGTTTGTAAATCTAATTTTTGAAGCTTTTAATTCTATAATAATTCCGTTTTAAATTCTAAATTCAATTGTTGATTACTCGTTATCTTTTTAGTGACATTCCTATTGCCCGACCAACTTTAGGATTACGAGTTGATTACTCTTAAGTTCTTTTAAAAGGGCTTAAATCCTTCATCAAATTTCTTCGTTGTGGTTTGGGCTTTATTTTAAACGAATTTTTTGGGGGGGGGGGGGGGGGGGCAGT